ATATCCAATTCCAGTGAGATTTCGGAATTTTAAAATCTTATTTTTAACTATGTTTTGAACAATTACACGCATTTGCAGCTTGTTGTAAATTTATGTACCTTCCAATGTCTAGATTGACCGGATTAAATATTATTGAAATATTTTATTTATGCAATTTGGGGGCAATAAATTTATGTACCTTCACTCTTATTTTTTAGTCTAATTTGACCGGACTAATTGGCCAGAAATATATCTGATAGTACTATGATGTATTTCGAATAGTACTATGTGTTTCGTAATATGACTACACACATTCCTCGAAGAAATGTTTTGTTGAATTTAATAAAACCTGTATACTATAGATATGAATATATAGGGGGGATATTTTTTTGTCTTTAAATCAACTTATTTCTATTCAATTTTGCGTTTGAAATATGTTTTACCCTAGTGAATCATGTTATATTTTTCCAGGACTATATTAATTTTGAAGAAAAATCCAGAAGAACACCTCAAATGTGATAGTTATGGTCCCTAAATACAAATCAGCTGGATCTCAGGTAATGATTCAATTGAATATTTTTGTCAACAAACAAATAAATAATGTTGAAAACACATTCAAATAATATTCATTGTTCCTTCAGTACATAAAATTAATACATAATTATTGTTATATTGTTTGTTTGAAAATTGAGTTAAAACAGTTGTTATTCCTTGCATGTAAATTATGCAAATGAATTTTTTTTATTATTGAATTGCAGCTAAAATACCAGGCAAGATGTTATGATGTGAATCATCACGTTTGCGATATGAATGGCAGTGTCCCTTAGCACAAAACACCTGTACGAATCAAAGGGTAGGTTTGGCAATCATTTAACAAAAAGCTGAAAGGTCAAAGGAAACTAAAAACCTACAATTAATGAAGATTTTGGCCAGTTGGTCCAAAAAGACACACGAGAATATTTTTCCAAGAACAAAATAAAGAGACCAGCTGAGACAGGAATATTAATCTATATTGTGTCATACAAATTTCTTTCAAAAACAATGGGACAAAAAAATAGGCACAGCTAAAGATGATGCTTTAAAAGAATTTGATATATCTGATGATATCAGTCAACCATATAGAAAGTGGGATGGTTGAAGATAACCTGAGAAATAGGCCTAATTGAAAGGTTACCAAATCATAATTTTTGACTGCCTACAAAAATATGATCATCACAATTTGAAAGATCAAAATTTATCTTTGAATGACTGGTATAAAAATGTAGAACTTCGTACAAAAACTTTCTAAAGTTGTCATGGGCAATGACATATAAACAGTAGATACAAAGGAAATAAGAGGAAAATTTAACAGTATTTGGGTGTTCATAATTTGTAGTTATGTTTTTGTTAAGATTGAAATTCACAAATAATGTTTATTTAAAAATTTTGTAACACAGTTTTAGACAAAAATAAGAAATGAAATATTTATCTTCGTTTATATTTCATTCTCATAATGAATATTGGAATAATAATGAATAATACATATAAATGGAAAAGCGAGGTTTAGCTGTGAGAGCTGCTTTTAAACCCAACCTCGGGTTAAACTTTTCAATTCTGAATGAATGATCATATATTGAGGTTAGTTCTCAAATTCAACTGAAAATTTATGATGGACTTCTTCAACCAAGAGATACTCGCTAACGTTTCAAATGGACCAATAGATGAATCCATTGGGTCAATCGGATTCATCAGTGATTTGTGAAGTTGTAAATTTGTAAAGATAAGAATACTATTGTTTGCGAATTTCTGAACATTGGCTGGGGCAACAGTCTACCAGATTCTCTCCATCACTAACAAATTTAGAAAGTTACTTCCTAATTTTTTTTTTCTTGTCAGTTTTTCACTATTATGAAAATTCATTGTTTACATGTACAAAAATATAATGGAAAGTGAACAATCTAGACCTTGAGAGCACAAATGGTTATTAATTCCAAGTTAATGAAGCTCGCAAGTAATGGTGAGAACAGAAGAAACCTTCGTTAAATCCTTGGTTCATCCTGTTAAAATTGACAATATCAAAACATTTCATATTTCTTTCGATTCTCAAATAGAGGCAAATTTTATAATTGATTTTCAAAATAATTTAGAGGAGTAAACCTCGATAAAAAATCCCCATGCTAAGATGGAAGTTATCGTGTTGAAGGCATTAGTAGCACTTGGGTCATAGTGCTGGTAACGATACCCTTGAAATACCAGGGTAGTATTTCATTGTAGGATAGCCCTTACCTCTGCACGCGGGGCTCTGCAGGGGCGGACATTTTATTTCCCTAGCTACTCGTGGGATTCATTATGGATTACAATTACCAATACAACAGAACAAATACATCTTTTCAGGGAGGCTTTTGGTCAAACCAGAAAAGTTCTTACGGACAGGGAGCCTCACAGGCAAACCGCCGAAATGAACATCAGCATAACTCCTCAAATTGGAGACAGCTACCAAAAAGGCTCAATAATAAGGCCCCAAGAAAGAGGCCAAGGTTGCCAAAATTTCTGCGTGAAAGAACAGGTAACAGTCAACAAGGAAAAACCAATAATTCTGTAGATGTCAGTACTCCACCGACCAACAAGCAACCAGCAGAACAAAAAAAGGAAACAAAAGAAAAAGAAGCTGTCGGAACTTTCATGATGGTAGTTTCAAGTCAGTATCCTCTGAAGGTTATGTCTGACGAACAGCTAGACAGTGTGCAATCGGAAATTCTCAGTGAAATTGACAAAATAGAGGTAGGAGCTTTCCGACCTCAATTCTTGGAGTGTTTCAAGAAAAAAGGTGCTCTAGTGATCGATTGTAATAACCAAGAGAGCATAGATTGGCTGAAAAAGGCTGTTCAAACTTTATCACCTTGGGAAGGTGCTCAATTCAGACTGATGCAGCCTGGAAAGACAGCTATTCAAATGGTTATTGTACACAAACAGTATCCGTGGGAAGTATTGGACTTTGATCAGATAGATAATTTACAGACGGAGTTGATCAAAATTGTTGATGAACTACCTCTAGATGGGTTTGTTCCTCAGTTTCTAAATTGTCTTAGACAGAGAGGTACCCTTGTTGTAGACTGTAACGATCAGGAAAGTGCAGACTGGCTAAAGAATGCAGTACCTGCTCTACTATCATGGGATGGTCCTGATATTTTTGTTACTGAGCCGGAGCGAGTACCTTCTCTGAAATATTTACAGCTTTCTATCCCTGATCCGGTCGATGATCCCGAGCGTATACTGTTACGTCTCCAACATCAAAATAAAGGTATCAACACTAAAGATTGGCACTTTGTCAGGATGAAAAAAGAAACAAACTGTACTAATTTCTATGTAGCTGTGGATGATGATGTCGTAAACTTTCTGAAAGAATTAAAATTCACATTATTTTTGAATTTTGGTAGGATAAGTGTGAGAAATATGGGTAAATTTAGGCCTATATTGACTAAACCGAGGGAGACTGAGGATTCTACCAAACAAGAAGAGGAGAATAATGACCAATCCAAACTGAATTCATCCTCAGGTGATTTGACTGAAATATTAACAGAAGTTGATGAGATTATGGCAGATGTGGATCCTTCAGACAAAACAAACGACCAGTAAATCACTGGAAATTCCACATTCAATATATTTTCAATTCAGAGATTTCTCTTATCAAAACTCGTTCAATGTGATTCAAATTTATTAAAAATTCCACTCATTCATAAACACTTTCAAAATGTTTCGAGGAAGTTGTATATGAGGTTCAGATTGTTAAGTTTTCATTTTAGAACTACTGATTAACATGGTTTAATCTAAGATAAAATATTCAAGAGTAGTAGATAAATTGACATCAAAGCAAGTATTGAGCACTCTTCTAATGGGAAATGGTTTTCGATGGTTAATTTGGTTGAAACTCACAGATAAATTATTCAGAATTTACTAAACAAATAATCTCGCATCTTTTCATGATGTCTTTTCATTTTTTTCTTCATATAAGAGGAGTAAACCTCATTAAAAAATCCCCAATGCTAAGGCGTGAGTCATCGTGCTTAAAGTATGAATGGTACTGGGGTCATGGTGCTTATAACGATACCCCTGGGATATAGGGGCAATGTCTCAGTGAAACTAAGCCCTCACCCCTGCATGCGGGGCTCTGCGGGGGAGAAGTTTATTTCCCTAGCTACTCGTGGGACATAATATGGAAAAATATCAATTTTATAAACAAACTTATTCAGTAAATCGTGGTGGTGTGGGATCATCTCTGCCAGGGTTTGAAAAACCTCAATCTAGTGAAACACAATCTTTTATGGGAAGTCAGTTTGACCAAAGATCAAATTTTGGAAGGGTATTTCAGAAAAACAAATATCAAACTGTATCTAAATATATAAATGAAAAGCCACCTAAGAGTTTTCAAAGCAGTGCTTCAGATCGATCGACTATAGTGGAATATCCAGTGGACATCTATCCAAAATCGTCTGTCGAAAATATGAGATTTAGTAGTTTCAAGCAGGCTAAGTCACATTTAAGAGGAAATAATTTCAGCAATGATCAAAGTCGAGATTTGACTAACAATTATTCAGTTAACGTCCATAGATCACCGGTGTCTAGTGGAAGGAATGATTATTATCAAAGAAATCCAATAATTTTGGATCGAAATCCAGATATCAGTTATTGTAGACCTTCTTTGGAATTGGATTCAAGGCGACATCAAAGGTCCCCAGAATTTCGAGAAGAATATAGAATATTGAGAAATCAAAGATCTCCAGATAGAAATACGGGTTTTGAGAGCCAACAAGACATTTGGCGCAGTTCTCCAGAAAGATATCGAAGTGATGCTGGCAGTTATAACTCCTTTCCTTCGGTATCAAATATTCCAAGCCTATTTGATTCCAATTTAATTGCAGTGCAGCCAGGGACTACAAATACGCAGCAGAATTTGTTTACTAGAAGAAGCAACTCCAATGTTCGATCAGTGTTGACAGAGGCTGAACGAAGTTTAGGATATACTACAAGCTCTAGTTTAACCGAAGCAGAAAGAAGTTTGAGATTCAAACCACCTGCTCAAAGTAACTACAGTGACAATCAGCCTAGGGATAGGGCGAATTTACCCCTCAAGAGAACTTTAGAAGTTCCACAGAATATTAGGAACAAGTTTTCAAGACCATTCATGTCAGTTCCTGCTAAAAGAAATGAAAAACTGAGATCAAGTAATGCTATAATAAAAAAGAATAAACCTTCTATGGGTACTCAAAAATCTAGCAATGCATTCGTAATGAAAAATCGTAAACGGAAGGGAACCATTCCCCTACAAATTGGAACCGAGAAAAGGTTAAAGTTTCAGCCTCCAGCAAAACTGGCAGAAGCATCCAAAAAACATTCTGGCGAATTGATTAAAAAAGGGGAAATAAAGCAACCTGTTGCTGAAACATATCTTGGAACAGGAAAAATATCAGGCGATAACATAACACCATCAAGTGCAACACCTACAAAAAGGAAAAAGAAAAACAAGAAAAAAAATGCAGTAGTGATCCAACCAAAATACCAAGTGGAAAATCTGACAGATCTTTCGATAATATTTCTCCGAAATTTCCCATTCCAGAAGATGAATAAAGATCAAACAATACTTTTGAGAGAAAGTCTTGAACAGGAACTTGAAAAAGTTGGTGATAAAAGTTTCCAGCTCCATTTTGTGACCAGTTACAGACGAAGAGGATGTGTTGTTGTTCTTTGCAGAAATGAGAGTGGAGTGGAGTGGTTGAAAAAAACATTAGAAACACTTGAACCTTGGGAAGGAGCGAATTTCAAAGCTGTTCGACAAGGTTCACAAACCTTCAGTTGGTCAGTTATTGTTCCAAATGA